AGATCTGCTTTCAGTATTATTGTGAGCATTAAATTAGATCATGGTAAGCATTTACCCTACTGCCTGGTACACACAAATGTTAACTACAGTTACTACCAATTAGGGAGTCTTTTTAACAATGTCAGAAGTTTAAAATATTCATATGGACCATGGTGGAATGAATAACATTCTAAATTTACTCCTTGGGCCAATATAATTAGTATTCCTCAAATAGTACTCTGGCTCTCTATCAAAGAAAACGTATTAATAGCCCTAATCTTATCTACCACTCTAAGCAAAATCTGAATTTGTCTTTGTTTGTCATTATTGAGAAAGATACAACATCAGGATGCAGACAGTTAAAGAACAAGATGAGAGTTTGATTTGTTCAGATAGATCTAAGTTCCTTTCCTGAACCAGTCTCTAATTTTCTTCTTAAAAATACTTAATTGTAATATTTTCTTCCCAGGTCTTACAAATGCTAGGTAGCTTCTCTTAGGGTGTGCCAGATTTTTCCTTACATATGTATATAAACATATTCCCATTTCATTTTAATTAAGGCATTATTTTTGACAATTGATTTATTTACTGTATTTACAATGTGGCAGGCATTATTATGGCAGTCACATGAAACCTAATAATCCTGTGTGGCACACTATTAGAAGATTTTTATAATCATGTAAACTCCAATGAATGCCATTTCATCATGGAGTCTGGAAAAATTTGAAAATCAGTTCATTCAGTATTGCCAAACCAGGAGAGCTCTATTAGTCGGCATTTCTATCCTTACCAGTAATAATAATAAGGGATATACATGCATGTTTAAAATGTTAAATTATGTGCAGGAATGTTTCTGTGTTGTGTACCTTTTGTACTCTAATTATTTGAACCGAATGGACTCAAGACATGTATGGTGATTTGCTGTTAAGAGAATATTTTGTTAAAGTATCCTATTATTTGATCATTCTAAAAATCTTACCCAATATAACTAAGAGCTATGGGTATGTTGGGGGTTTTTTTGTTTGTTTGTTTTTGTTTTTAGGATTTTTTTAGTAAATTTTTGGAGTGTTAAATAACTATTTCTTACAACCAGATTCATATGTCTCTTTTTTTGGACATTGCAGGTGAAAGTAGGGAAGAGAAGTTAGGAGATTCATTGCAAGATTTATACAGGGCACTGGAGCAAGCCAGTCTGTCACCACTGGGAGAACACCGCATTTCAACCAAGATGGAATACAAGCTGTCCTTTATAAAGAGGTGTAATGACCCTGTGATGAATGAAAAACTACACAGGCTAAGAATTCTCAAAAGCACTTTAAAGGTAAGATATGAAATGGAGGGAGAAATTCCTTTCAAGAGATTCACTCCTGAACACAAAGTGGATTACCAGGTACTCTAACTGGAAAAATCCTACATGGGGAAGGCTGGGGGGCTGGGGAAGTTGAGGTGGGGGTACAGGTAAGCAAGAAGAACCTGAAGCTGAGCTGTTCCTATAGCACAATAAGTGTATTGGTAAAATAGAAATAATTTTAACCTTTCATTAACATCTTAAAGCACTGACTAAATGTTAAGTCACTTCATTCTAGGAGAAAACAGGATGTAATTTTTTTTCCCAGAAATGCAGAGCTGGTGTTATTCCTCAGTCTTTCATTTTTCTAAGATAAGCCATATAGTTATTAATGTAGTTATTTGAAGAACACTCTACCCCAAACAGGCCCTGCCCCCTTGAAAGATCAAAAACATAAAAGAACTTACAGAGAAGGTGAAGCAGTGATTTCAGGAGACAAAAGGTCAAAAGGGTTCCTTTGGGAAGTCTTTCAGATCCATAGTCTGCTTGGTTGAGGTTTTGTAATTTTGGAACATAAGTGAGTACCAAAGCGATAAACAAAATAGAAAATGAATGATTTGAAACAATTTCCAGTAGCAAGCGGCCAAGTTTTCAGTCAATTAGCTTTTGATGGGTATTCATGCAAATACTAATGCAAATCATTGGGACAACTTAATGGCCTATTGGTAACCAAGACCAGAACTTTAAGAAGAGCTAGAATACTCATAAGAATAATTATGCAGACCAGCCCTGCTCCAAACATATCCTCACAGCCCCGCAGACTCTCACCCCCAGTCGGGTGGAAACTGCCTGGTTGCAAAAGTAGGCAGAGCCTTTTGAAGCTAGTCAGTCTCACCAGTGTATTTTAGAGACCTGCTCCTGCCCCTTTCTCTTTCAGCCCCTTGCCCCTGGCTTTAATGCTCTGTAAATTACCCAAAGCGTTTTCTTCCAGTAGCAAAGAATATGAGCTCCTGCCAGTGTTCGGTTCACTGAGTATTGATGGATCACCAGGTATGTGACCCTGTGCTCCACTCTGGGTCAAAGATGATGAAGTGCCACTGTAAAGAAATGCCCCTTGCTGGTAAAATGAACTACAGATCCCTGTACTTTTCAGTGTGGGAACTGATAGGGACTGGAAATCTCCCATTAGGGAAGGACAACTGCCCAAGCAACTTCCGGGCACTATAACAGGCCCCTCAGGCACAGGCAACTGCCACCATCCTGGGTCCCGGCATCCTCAGTCCCAGGCCTGCTGTCTTCATGTGGCCCCCAGGACCAGCACAGCTGCTTAGGCACATTGCTGTCTTCCCTCCCAACTCTGGCTAGCCCAATCCGTTCCTTCCCACTTTGAGCAGAACATTCCAAAGATTTCCCTGCCCCTTCCTTGAGCCTGTAAGAGACAGGATTTAGTATCTCAGACTGTCTTACCCCCTCCTCCCCTGCCCCACCTCCCACCTGAGGAGGGTGTGCTGTGGTGAATCACCCCAGAGTGAAAGCAGACCTCCAGTGTGGAAGGGAGGGCCATTTTTTATTGCAGGCCCCCAGTGCTACAGGAAGCGAGCCATAACATTCACACAGGAAGAATTATGTATTTGTGGTGACAGGAGGGCCATGCTCACTCTCTCATGGAAGCATGAGGAGCTGACCATCTAGCAGGAGAGACAGGACAGTGCAAAAGTAACTTACACAGAATGTGGTAAGGCTGCACTCAATGGCAGTGATAAACTGTTATGGGGACATAAGTGAGAAAGAAAACGTTTTTATCGATTGTTAAAGGAAGGCTTCAAGTAATGAGAGGCATTTGAACTGGATCTTAAAGAATGAGGAAGTTCTCCAAAGGCAGAGATTGGAAACAGAACAAGCCAAGAGAAAAACCACACAGAGTGGGCAATATGTTGCATGCCTTGCGTGTAGAGCAAAGTGCACTATGATCTGAGTCTAAATAGCCGAGTTTATCAGAGCCGTTTCTTAGGGGCTTCTTAATATTTTTCCTATTAACATTTTACTTTAAACTTGAATGAAAGGCTGCCCCCATCTTAACTGTTGTATCCTTTTGCTTTTCAGGCCAGAGAAGGGGAAGTAGCCATTATTGATAAAGTCCTAGACAATCCAGACTTGACATCTAAAGAATTCCAACAGTGGAAGCAGATGTACCTCGATCTTTTCTTGGATATCTGTCAAAACACCACCTCGAATGACCCACTAAGTATTTCCTCTGAAGTAGATGTAATCACTTCCTCTCTAACACACACTCATTCATATATTGAAACTCACGTGTAAGTGTTTTCTGCCCTCTGGCCACCTGATACCTTCTGGTACTTTGAACAAATATATAACGTAGTTTTTATATCAGTGTGTGGGACACTTGACAAGCTACACTTTAATGTTATCAAACTAGATGAAACAAATCATATATGGTAATAATACCACTGTCTTTAATGAGCATTTGTATATTTTATATGCAGTTAGTGCTCAGCTTATGTTTACCGTGTGCAAAATCAACTTCAATGACTTAAAATTAACTTTTGCAAACAACTCTGAAGACAGGTGGTCTTCAAGTAGTAAAAACACAAAAAGGCAGTTTTCTATCTGAGGTCATCTTTTCTCCCTTTAAGTTAATTTTGTATAAACAAGACTTCAAAAGTAAATCACAGTTTTTCAGGTGCAGACATCCTTGTGGGTGGGAAAGAATTTAAACCTTTTTTATATTTATTAAAATGTTCTAAGAATTTTCTTAAACATTGCACAAAGTTTAATGCTGTAGTTTTATTTTTGTGAAATGTAGATGCGCACACAGAGTTGAGCAAAACAGAAGAGCATCAAACACAAGAAAAGTTCAGGTATCTAATATTCATCTTAATAGTCTATTAACTTGTGAAAGCCAGTTAATGGAAATTCTATTACAAATCTATGGGGACACTTAATGGTGTATCAGGGCAAAGCTTTGTAAAATGTTTTTGTAACTCAGACCAAAATTGAAGATAGAGCTGCTTTATTTTCTTGGTTTAAATCCTCCTTTATTTTTGTAGTGACGAAATGCTGATTGTGTACAGAGGAATTTGAGAGTGGATTTTTTAAAATACACTTAATTCACCCAGAAAGGCAGCTACCAGTTGTATATATATATAATATATATTATATATATATTATATATATATACACACACACACATATATACACATATATATATAATTATTTGGTATATATATATACACATATATATATAATTTCAGCCCAAACTCATGTTTTTAAATGCCAATTCCTAAAAAACAAGGTATACACTGAAGTGAATCCACTTTCCAGTTAGTTTCCACTCCTCCCCCCACCCTAGTCCATTAATTAAATGTATGTAATTAATACTTCAGGCCGGGAAGTAAAATATGTTTAGTTACAGGCTGATGTGTTTTAATATAGAAAACAATGTTGAAAAATAAAAATGTACCTCTCTCCAGAGGAGCAAGAGAATGATGGTCATTCAGAGATAGAATACATCGAATATACGAGAGAAACCATGTATAGGTTTTTCCTAGCTTCATGAATTATTCTATAGACTTGATGAAGTCTATGAAAAAGGCCTCTTGGTATATTTCCATTTATAAGCATCTCGTTTTTGAAACTGATCACAGCATGATAATGACTGTGCTGCTTTTTAGTGTCTGGCTGCATAACGTCCAAGTCACAATTTGCTGTTTTGTTTTTTTTTTTTGGAGGAAAGGACCCTCCTTTACTATTCTATATCCTAAAACCTACTTCTAATCAGCTTTATACTGTTGCCTGTACAGCTCAGTGAATGTACTTTCATCTCTAAGAGTTCAGATATATGCCAGTGAATATTTTTGCTGTAGAGGAGAAGGTAAAAACCCCACAATGGGGATCTTTTTCTTTGCTTTTGAAACCACCATTGAATCACTGTCATTTCGCAGACTTTGCACAACTGTACAGGAGAGTGGCCTTTCTACAGCACATTTTCAGTAATCCTATATTTAGTCAAAATGGATGAGAAATCATGTATTAATGTTTGTATGGAATTTTGGGTCCAGTGTAATATTTTTATCATTTAAAAAAACCTATTTGTAAAAACATTTATTTACTGCATGGATATTGATGCACATTAAATTTGTGGGATTTTGTATATGTAAAAAAACAAAACAAAACCTCTTGTCCTAAAATGAAGTGTGCTTGTTACAGGTGTTTAGATTTATTGATGTTTACTAGACCAATGTGTACATTCACTTAAAAATATATGTACCTAATGGACATGTCATGGATACAGTGGCCAGGTTGTGCCCTGTAAACAGGGAGCAGTTGATGGAAAGACTAGCTGTGTTACTACTAAGCAGCTTTTACTTTTGTAAAGTCAGCTCTGTTGTTTTAAATGGTAAAAATTAAAATAATGAATTTTAAAAGACTCGTGGCTAGCCTAGCATGAAAGAGACCTTTTAACACTATATATCTGTACATTTTATTGCATTAGTTTCAAATCTAGGAGAGAGGCAGCACTGTAAACTGAAGTCAAATAAATTCAGCTCTTAATGAATCCTTATAAATCACCGACTTTATTCATGCAGAATCCTTACCCCATTTCTTTGTGACCTAATCACACAGCTACCATCCCCTTCCCCCCTTTTGCCCTCCACAGTTAGGAGTTCTGACTTGGCCACTCCCTGGTGGTACACGCCAGAAGATGCACCTGTTCACTGTATACAAGCATCTTTTCCGAGACCCTGCCAGAGCAAGCCGGTTTCCTGTTTATTTGACACAACTTTAAAATTTAACCTACTCCTCTTTCATTTCTCTGTGATTCTTCTGGGAAGTTGCAGGGGGAGGGGGCGGGAGGAACCACCACCAGAAATTAATTTTTTTTTTACAAATATAACCTACGTCATGAGTGCAGAATGAACATTTAAAGAGGATGAAAGAATTAAACTGTTTCTTGTTGTTGTTAGTTGTTGCACTTAATGTGAGGACCCTGATTATTATGGCTAACTAAGGGTTGCTGAGATAAATTGTAAAATCAGTGAGCCACCCTAAAGCCAAGGCAAAAACAGACTAGGGGTATGGACGAGGGACAGAAAAGCTTAACCTAGTACACTTACTCAAAAAAAAAAATAGAGGTGCTTTCTTAGAGATCTTTTTCCTCTCAGCTACATATTTATATTAAACCATCAAAGCAGAACTGTAACCATGGTTCTGGATCATAAAATCACTTCTTACAATGATCTCATGCTATTTAACCAAAGCACTTCGCTTCACTATTTTTACAGCTAATACCATCTTCTTGGGCTATTTATTACAGTCTTTATAGCTAACAATTTTCAGGGTTTTGTATATAACTTATTGGATAGATTGGCCTTTTTTGTTTGTTTGGCATAAAAATAATCACTGTTTAGCCCCTAGGGAAACGAATTATAAGATGGAAAATGGGGCATATTTTATTTTCAAAAGTCCATCTTTAGCCCAACAGGAGTCTTCTAGAACCCCAACTCACTGAAGCCGATTCGTGTATCCTTCTATTTGACCCCTTCTGTTTCCCATTTTCAGCTTAAGGTCAAATGGACCTCGTTGGCCAAGCCCTCACTTGCCTGCTTAACCTTTCAGAGCCACTCTGCTCCCAGAGTCCCATTCTCAGGAAAGCCCACGTGTTGCTCTGTAAGCCTGCTCTAGCGCGTCTTTCTCCTCTGACGCCCTGACAGTGCACTAACCCATTGAGCCCAGCACTGAATCCAGCGCCTCTCCGAGCTCTCGCTCCCTCTCCTCGTCCCCACCCTCGGCCAGCTGCAACACCACGCACTGCAAGCCGCTCCAGGCCCAGGGCAGCGCACAGCCTGTGTCCTCCCAGCGGTCCTGGTCGAGGTCATAGCCCACCACGTTGCGGGTAGGCACCTGTCGCGAGTTCCGCCACTTGAGGCCCCCCACCAGCAACGCGGTCTCTTCCACTACCGCCAGCCCATAGCAGAAGCGGTCGTAGGGTAGCGGCCTAAGCCGCGTCCACTGGTCCGTGCCGGGGTCGTAGCGCTCGATCTCGGAGAAGGGCTCGTAGCGCCCCAGAAAGGCGAACACCGCGCCGCGCAGCACAGCCATGTGGTGCCCGAAACGGGCCGTGCCCATGGGCGCCCTCTTGCTCCATGCCCGCTCCCCGGGGCCCAGGGAGTACACGTCCCGGAGGCTACTCGCGCTGCCCTCGTCTCTCCCCACCTTGCCCCCAGAGACGTACACGATGCCGCGGTCCCCAACGGCCCCCGCGTGGCCGTGCAGCGCCCGAGGCAAGGCCCCGACCGCTGTCCAGCGGTCCCGGCGCAGGTCGTACATCTCCACGGAGGCCAGCGCCTCGCCGCCCGCGCCCAGGCCTCCGACAGCCAGGAGCCCCTCGCCCACCGCGCCGCACCAGAAGTGGGCCCGCGCTTCACGCATAGCTGGCACTGCCGTCCACGCGTGGAAGCGCGGGTCGTAACGGTGCACTTGGGCAGTGACATCCCGCGGGCCATCGGCCTGGGGAGCGGAGGCGCCGCCGGAAGGGCTCTCCCCGCCCAGCACAAACAGGAAATTGCCCGCAGCGCACACGCTGTGCCCCAGAAGGGGTGCAGGCAGCATCGTAAGTCTGCGCCAGTGGTGATTGTGCATGTCGAAGGCCACCACGTCCTGGGTGAGCTCCCACTCCTCCTCCTCCTCCTCCTCCTCTTCCTGCTCTTCTAATTGCTCTTCTTCCTGCTCCTCCTCCTCCTCTTCTTCCTCTTCCTCCTCCTCCTCCTCCTCCTCGGGCTCCTCAATGGGGCCCCTGACCCTGGCTTCTCCCCGCGGGGCTGCCACCTCCACTGTCACCATTTTCCGTCCCCTGCGTCCCCCGACCAACAAGATGCGGGTCTGGGGACTCCGGACGCTGGTCTGCTCGCCCTGCAGGAGAGGCTGGCGGGAGGGCGCTGTGTGATAGTTGAGGGCCTGGATGATTAGGCTCTTGACTCGGGCAGGCAGTACGAGGCCGGAGCCCGAGTACACGCGCCGCAGCACGTCAGCTGGTACCAGGCCAAAGCGAACGCGCTCCAGCAGCGCGGCGCAGTGGGCCAGACGTTCGGCCTCGGGCTCCTGCCGCAGCCAGGCCAGCGTCAGGCCCAGCAGCTGGGCCTCGGGCACCCGCGCCACGTCGGGGGCACCGAGCACGGCCCTCAGCGACGCGGGGTTGAGCTCCAGCAGCCCCGCGGGGCCCGCGCCCTCCATCAGCAGCTCGCGCAGGTGGCGCACGATGCAGCCCTCCGCCATGGCCAGCGTGTGCACCAGGCCAAAGCGCGCTGCCACGTTGGCTACAAAGCAGCAGTTCTCCGGGGCCAGCTGGCTCTCCAGGTAGCGGTCACACAGACCCAGGGCCTCAGTGACCTGCAGGTAGCTGGCCGCCTCCAGCGTGTCCTCCACCGTGTCTATGGAGAGCGGCAGCCAGGCTGTGTAGATGAAGTCCAGCAGGCGCTGCAGGCCGGCGGCCGACGGCACATGTAAGTGGATTACGCGCGCCCGGGATTCCCGGGTATGGCTTTTGAACAGGGCCCTAAAGTAGTCGCTGGAACACGCGAGGAGCGACTTGTGCGCCGGGAACTCGCTGCCCTCGGCCTCCAGGGTCACGTCGCACAGGAAGCCCTCGGCGCGCAGAGCCTGGTAGCCGGTGAGCAGTGCTCCACCATGAGCTTTGCAGTAAGACAGGAAGTAACTCATGATGTCCAGGGCGGGAGGCTGCCGGGCTCTGGCTGGGCCTACGGCCAGCCAGAAGCAGCCTGAGGCATGCCGGCCACGGGGTCCCCGAGCCCCGCCCCCCGCGCCAGCCACAGAGCTCCTAGAGGGGACCCATGTTTCACTGCTCAGCTTGAAGCCCGGGGCTCCTTAATCCGGGTCCACAGATCTCCCCGCACCTCTCTCAGAACAAATCCTGTTTGGAAGCCATTTCCAGAAGCTCCCAGTAGTGGAGGGCACTGAGTTGGGAGTCTTCCGAGGGGTGCAGGGTTTGGTTTTGGCAGGTGCCAAGGCTGCCAGTGCGTTGCCCACAGCCCCCTCCCCGGCCCAGTTCGGGGGGCTCACACGGCGCGCCAGGGACCGCGGGGGCCGCGCTCCATCACCTGCAAGGGCCGGGCTGCGGGTGAACTGATTCCCGGGTGGGGGGTGCCGGATCTCCGACGGCGCAGACGCGGCCGGGCTCGGGGCGTCCCGGGACTGCGGGACGAGGGCTCTGACCTCCCGGGGGTGAACGAGGAGGACAGGTTCTGCGGGCACTCGCGAGGGCCGGGGACAACTGGCCACGGGGCAGGGGGGTGAGCTTGTTCCTCCCGGAGGATCAAGTCAAAGCCTGAGGGATTAGGGAGGGGGAGGGCGGCGCGGGTCAGCGCGGCGGGTGGGAGGCGTGATTGGGCGCCGCACGTAACATGGCAGTAGCTCACAGCGACAGGAATAGCGCGCGACCTCGGCCTGCCCGGCGCACCCCGCCCCGCGCCCCTGCTACTAGCCCGGAACCAAGGGCTGGGGCGCGGGAGGAAGCGACCTGGGCCTGGGACCTGACCCCGGCGACCCAACGAGCCACCGGTCACCAGGGACCCGGCTAGGGGTGCCGAGGGCGCTCGCCAGAGAGGCGCGAGTCTCCGGGGAACCTGCGCCAGGTAGTGTCTGGGGAGAGACGCGGGGCCTGAGTTTGGCTCCCCAGTGCCCCAGCGCCTAGGAAAGAAGCGACTGACTCGCAACTTGCTGCTTTAAGGAGGCCTAATTAAAAAGGGCGCGAGCGGGGATTAAGCGGCGGTTTTGCGCGCTGACACCCAGGAGGCCGCCACACTCAAAAGGAGCCACTGGCGGGAACCGCGCCCGGGCAAATCCCGGGCTCCCCGCCAGCTGCGCTCCGCAGCACGCCCCTCATCTGGGCTCACCCTGGCGAGATGCGGGGCCTACTCTGCGCCCTTGCGGAGGCAGCTCGTGGCTGCCGGGCTGCTGGTCTCACATTCCGCCTGCGGGAATTTGCTTCCACGCCCACTCCCGACCCCAGACGAGTGAGTTCTCCCATCGTGTTCTTGGACTCTGCCCGGCCCATCCCTTGGCAAAGTGGACAAAGCAATTGTAGGTGACTTCCTTTAAGAAAGTAATTCATTCCAGTTTCTCTCCCTGACTTAACAGGCTCTGATCTAATTACTGCCCGCTGCACCTTCAATGCCACCGCGAGATAGAAGGCAGTAAAGTTAGTTGCAAAGCTGGGTATAGGCTGGACTTTCGTAGGAACCCTCCTCATGAAGTTATTTTTGTAAGGTGCAGCCAGCGCACAAATGATGACTAAAACCACCTCAATCTTGAGACCTTAGGAAAGCATTTCTCTATCAGTTCCGTCCTGCTCTTAAATAGCTAAATGATTACTGTAACTATTCTTTATTGCCAATCTGGAAGCTTCTGTTTGGCTTTCATCCAGAATTGATTTTTCTGTTTTCTAATGCAACTCCTCTCGTAGTCTGTTTTCTGTGAACCTTTTGAGGGCATCTAAAGTAACTTGCACTTCTGACAGTTGGGGTTGTATTTCACAGGGAAAAAAAAAGTCCAAGGAAGGATAAAATGCCCTCATTTTCTGCCTGGTATGCCGACGGTACTTACAGGTCTCCAATTAGAAGTAATTTCTGAGGTGCGTGAAAATATTGGTAAAATGATTTCACTTTCTTGTCAAATATAGAACTGCTTGATGACTTAAATTAGCCAAATTATGAAATGCAGGCAAGGGCTCAGGTTGAGGGATTGCTTAAACTTCCCAGGCTAAAAATGCTCCAATTTGAATTCCTGATGTTAGAGCTACAGGTACGTTCAAAGGGGTGCTGCTTGGCTTTTTTTTTTTTTAAGTACTAAAGTTCTTAGTCCTAACATTCAAAAATAAAATACCAATTTGGTGTGCTTTGCACAGATATGAATGGTGAAATTAAATAGCCTTTACTTGACCTAATAGAATTTTGCTAGGAGGGATATTTGAGATCATTTAACCAAACCCTTTCCTATCGCAATTTCTTGTTTTTCTTTTTAAACGTGGCAAATGAGCCCCAGAGAGAGTACTGTTTGTCTGGGTGACTTGGATATTAAATTACAGAGTCTGGATGGGAATCCAGGGCTCCCTCCCCACTATATTATGTGACCTTGCATATGATAAAAATAAAATAGTGCAACACAGTCAGTTTATTTAAACCAAATTTGAGTGTTGAAGTTGAAGTACAGTTTCTTAAATAGCATATATTTTTAACCCCCAAATCGAATCACATCCCATCAGGTCTGTCCATCACCAAGCATTCCGGTTGAATCCAACATGTCACACTCACTTTAGAATAAAGATGCTGAGGAAGACTTTAAATTCTTAACATCAGAAGTGCAATTTTACATAACAAGTACTTGCGGGCCCAACAGGGCACCTGAACTTGTTCTGCCATTGAGGATGTGACGAGCTGTGTTACCTGAAGAAGTTTTCGTATTAGGTATGTGTTTACAAGGTCTTGTTTAGAAAATGTAACTGTCAGCCCATCCAAGAACATTCTTGTCCTTTGAGTAAAGTTTATGGAATTATCAGTATTTTAATTTCTGTGCAATATTAAGTATGCTAGATAACATTTCAGTGTGTGCTTTTTTAGCTGTTGTGGTAGATATGGGTCCTAAGTTGGGTCTGCAATGCAACCTGAACACATGGTGGGTCACAGATATGATAGGATGTGATCATTATGTTGAGAATGATCTAAAGAGACGGCCCCTCCCCTTTAGACTCTGAACTTCTGGAAGGCAGGGACTGTTTCTTTTGGTCTTTGTTTCTCCAGTCCCTATCATGGTCTTTGGCATAAGTAATGTTGAGTTGGACAGATACAGGGAATGGCACCATCAGTTCTCAGAGAAGTAAAGGGCATTTTTAAATTGAAATATAACTTAGATACAATGTCATATTGGTATCAGATTAACAATTTGGTGATTCATCCATTATGTACATTATTAAATGCTCATCATGGTAAGTGCAGTTACCACCTGTCACCATCCAGTAAAAGGTTATTAAGAAGAACTTGTATGGGATAATTCCTTCTCTCTGATTTTCTTTCTTCCCTTCACACAGCTGGGGTTGAAGGCACATCCTGGTAAGGCCAAGAGCAACCTCCCTAGGAATCAGGTGTGTGGCCAGGGGTGGCGCTAACTGGGGAGTCCAGGTGGAAGGCCAGACTGTCACTTCTGGCCCCACCCCCGTTGTAGCCTGGCTCCGCCTTGCAGCCTGAGTCCTTTCCCAGACCAGCCCCACTGCTCTTCCTCCTACCAGGACGCAGGGCTCCAGGTGCCCCCCCCCGCTTCCCCCCCAGTTTGTATGGCTGGGCTTGAAAGCCCAGCTACGTACTCCGGCATGCCTGTTGGGACCTGCAATGTGTCCTGAAGCCCCCAGCCCTTGTCAGTACTGTAATGTGCTATCCACGCTCCCATCCACACACCTGCACCTCCTGTGGCAGAACCTACACCACAGTCCTCCAAGCGCCCTCCTCACCTCCCACGTCAAGGTGGCACTATAGGGTCAGCCATGGCACTCCACCTTCCCTGAGTTGCCCCTACCTAGCTAAACCTAAATTCCATAGCTCTCACCTCTAAAATAATTGTGTATGTTGAAAAAATCCAAAACTACAAATGCCCATGTATAACGGACACTTAAAATTTTTTTTGCAAATGTAATGTGCTTTTTTGGTAGCAGCTGTATTGAGATATAATCCACATACCATACAATTCACCACTTAAAGTGTGCCATTCAGTGATTCTTAGCGTATTTACAGAGTTGTACAAACATCACCACAGTCTAATTTTGCAGCACTTTCATCACCTCAGAAAGAAACCTTGTGCCCTTTAACTCTCACCTCTCTATACCACCGGCCACCCCCCAGCCCTAAGCAACCACTGATATACTCCCCATCTCTATGGATTCTGGGTATTTCATGTAAATGGAATCTTACAACATGTGGTCTTTTGTGACTGACTTTGACTTAGCATGATGTTTTCAAGATTCATCCATTGTAATGCACTTTTGAGGAAGAAAAAGACTATGTATTAGAATAACATAGAGAACCTTTTCTCAAAGCCACAAAACTCTAAAATGTGCTTGTTTGATAGTGAGGATTATTTTGGCAGGTTAATTGTTTACCATCCATCATTATGGGCTCCTTTTAATCCCTATATGTTTCCTTCCAACACATGGCTCTGGCAACCTCTGTGGAGAGGCTATTACTAGAAATTGACACATAAACTAAGATAACTGTGAAAGCATGATTAAAAACAATAACAGACATGTGACAGAGGAAAAAAAAATCCCACGTTATCTTTATCCTCTTCTGAGATCATTTTTTGTATATGTGAAATATATTTTATGTTTGTGACATGCAATTCAAGCAGAAGGATTTGAAGGGGCGGAATGTGTGTACGTGTGTGTGCTGTAATCATGAGTGATTTTGGCATTCTGGCCCAGCTGCCTGCCTAACAAGCAGCATGGCAGTAGGAAAGGATTCAACTTTGAGGTCATACAGACCTGGGCTCCAATTCCAGATCTGCCCCATGTGACTTCCAGTGACTTCAATTCTATGAGTGTCATTTTATTATTTTTAAAAGGACGATAATGACTCTACACTCATAGCACTCTTAAAGAATAAAATTAGATTATATATATGACTACTCCTAACACAAGTACATGCAACATATGTGAGCTTTTGCTGCTTCTCCGTCCCTTGACTAAAACCTTCTGGAAACTGATAGCACCAGAGCCCAAGCAGCCGGGAAATTTAACAGAGTAGTGGTTTTCAGTGATCTTCATGCAGTATCACCTACGAACCTGTTAAAAAGTGGAAATTCTTGGCCCCATGTCAAACTTAGGGCATCAGAAACTGTGAGAATCAGCCCAGCCATCTGCTTTAACAAGCCCTCCCAGTGATTCTGATACGTACGAGAGAGTGAGCACCACTGTAACAGAGAATCATTCATCACTGCTACTGCGTCCTGGATTCAGTGTTCTGGGTGTAATGTCAACATTTTCCAAAAAAAAAAAGGAAACCCGCTAGTTCCAAAAGGTCAGAGGTCAAAGACCCAGATGACATAAAGTAGTGGCCTCTGCCCCATGTCATGTGACTGGTCATATTAGCAACAATAGACTGTGGGCTTGTCCTTCCCCCCAACAAGATGATGATACCAACAGCAGATCACTGAAGCATGAGACTATGACTTGGTAACTAACAGAGTTCCCCAAACCACATTTGATTGAATACTGAAGTCAGAAGGTACTTGC